ATGTTAAAAGAAGGTAACGATAGGAGAAAAACAAAAGAAAAAAACATTCTTCAAAAAATTAGGATTAGCAAATGTTATACTGTGTACTTTCTTTATCTTTGGTCAAAATTTACTGTGCGCGATGCATTTGGTGCGTAATTTCAGTTTACTCCTCGGAATCTAGATGTGGGTAAACACTTCCTCCACCATTTACATATCATGTTGAATGGCAGACTAAAGACAAAATATTTCATTTGCATTTTGATCTGTTTACCTTCCAGCTTTATTATATCGGGCGTAATCTATAAATAGTGCCATTTAGACGATCGCGATCGAAGCACAGATTACGCTATATAGTATGTTAAGCTTTTCTCTGTGCTTTTAATAACATAATATATCATTCGACGGAGTTCTAAAATGAAAAAACCTGGCAGCGGAAAAATGTCCAATCATAAATGTAAGTGACCTGGGCTCATATTATAGTCAGCCCGCAGAGTGGTTTGTATACGAACCTATAGACAGTTAGAACAAATGTTCTGCACAAAAAATGCCCTGAGTGATTGTCGCGGCGACAGAATACAGACGCTGGTTTATAGCAAAATTACTGTCTGTAAATAACATTGGCAGTGATATATTGATGTGTCCTTACTGTAAAAAAGGGTATTTCGTTTTGGCTGAAAACGCGAACATCCGCCATGGCTGGAGTAGTCATCTATTAGTGCATGAATCAACAATACAACTCAGTGACATTTTTCCGGCGTCAAAAAGAGCGGACAATCTTTCAATGTAAACTGTACGTTGGTGGTCGCAGTTTGTGGCATTGGAGAGCAATGCGTAAATTTAGTAGTTAAATGGGATTGCCGCCTCCTCTATTTGTAACTACTCTTCAACACCATCCCGCTCTTGGTTCTCTGTAAGCATGGCCAACGCCACATTTTTTTTTTCACCGGGAGGAAAAAACAGTGCTGACTTGGAGCTAATCGATTATATCAAATCCTATGACGCTACACTCTCCATAGGCTGAGAGTAATGCAAACATATTTGTACTTGAATATATACATGTACATCCCGCGAGTAAATATATGCTGTCATGAAGGCCTGCCCTATATTTAGAGAACCGATTGTACTGTTGACGCTCTTCAACATAACAAAGGGACTTGAATAAATTAATTGAGCAGTACGACATCTTGTTCAAGTTAGCACCCACATTCGATGAAACTGTTAGTTCTGTTAATTTTTAAGAAACATTCAACCACAGTACCTCTATCCACGGTCTGGAAACGGTCATTGTTTTAGGTGTGAATTGACCTCTTTCCCTGGCAAAGGCGCGTTACGGGTATTCTCAAAGCAGTGCCACTGATCAGTACGCACACGGTCACTATTTTTGTCATCGTTTTTTTTTTTTTTGCTATCTATTTTATTTACCCTTCTCCACGGTGCGAAATCTATAGTTTTCTTCGATTTTAACATCTTTATGATCGAGCATATTATTAAATATTGGTGGACAGATTTTTTATTTGTCACACCGCATTTTATTAATGTTGAATTGTGCAATTTTTATGGATGCTTTCTTCGATCGTAAATGCAAATTGCGACGTTTTGAAATGACAACGTACGCTATTCATATTTGACTTGAATTGTTATGAGCCCCCAAGAATCAGATATAACACAGGTTTTTCAATCGACCACGTTAACAAGAACGACGCCATTTTGACAAGATTTGTTTAGCGATGTCAGCATGTTGGTAAGCGCCGTTTTTCCCTATTAAAACTAGAAGATGAAAACAATTCTCGATATTTATCTTTACATAACAGGCACTGGATGTTTATGAGTTGATAGGCTGGTTGTGATACGTATCAGGTTTCAAAAACGCAAAATTTCATAATGCTAATTTTGTATATATGTTTGTTTGCGTTGCAATTGCCTAAATTTGAGATCAAAGTGAAAACATACAATAAGGTGTCGCTTTGCATGATGGTAAAATTGATGATTTTAATGAATATTCTGACGGTATTGTAATCTTCCTGACTTCCTGACTCCCTCGGCCCGGATGTGAACAGTTTGCTTACACGCAACGCAGTTCGAGACAAAAGTACACTAGTCCTTTTTAGGACCGGGGATAGAGGGACTGTGAATCAACCAATTGTTCAAGATATAAATGATCGCAGATCAGATACTTGTATATTCATGAAGTATGATCGAAATGGTAACCATTTGATAAATAAATAGCTGTTTATCCGTGGCCAAATGCGAAGAAACAATTTATTTAGTTTTTTCAGAAACAAATTTTTGAATATCATAACTGATGAAGATGTTATCTTTTAACACTTTTCTTTAACGATGTATAAATTACACAATCTATCCCCCATAAAATGGGCTAAAATATGATGTATCACGGACGTTTATGTGAGCATTTGACGTTGAGTTACGACCACGAGAACATAGACACGT